TATATCGTTCGACTGAATGTGATCGTTTCATATAGTTTGATGCCAGAGTATGGAAAAGCTGAATCCTAATATAACGCTATAATGGAAATTGATAAACATTCATTGGTTAAAGTTAAACCAAGCTTGATTAGAATAATGTTCATAGACTATTAAAATTAAAAAGGGTAGCTGCTTGACGCGCTTTGAATCAACACCGTTTTAATTAAAAATGTATATAGCCGTGCTTTCGAAATCTGGCCGTTGTAAAGTTCACTCGGACAGAAGCAGAACAAGCGGTACGTGGATGAGATAGATATTTATCTATAGGTGAGTTATAAACTATTTTTGTATACCGCTTATATACTGTAGTCATTGTCAATAGCTGGGGGGAATTATATGTAATGAATAGAATAATGACGAATTTCGTCCTCTAACTTGTACTAAAATAGTAATAGAAAAATAACTTAAAATATCGTGCATAAAAATATGTCCGCCTAAGATTCTGTTGAAGAGTGCATTGAGATATTTCTGTAACCTCAGTCTCAGCCCAAATATGTATTCATGCCGCGCAGCGGGAAATCGCAATTCAAAGTCTATTAACTGCTGAGTGCTCTCATCTTTCCAAACATGTTGTTAATTTAAACTATTTTGTACACAAAGAAACTATGATTCAAGTTAACCCAAAATGAGCTACATTTAAAGCTGAAAATTACTTGTGTTTCGATCTGCATATGAAGTGTTATATGCCTTATGGTGCCCTGGACAAATGTCCCATTTGACACAGGAACATTTTTATGCAGCAATTGTAATTTTCAAGTGAAATGTATTGTTTTGGTACTCTATTAATCAATATATATGAGGGACAATCACATTGGAAACTATCCAAAAATTATATAAATTGCCTATTTGTCATACTGTAGAATAGATATTTACCATTTGACACTGTTCTTGCATTTATTCAGTACATACAAGACCTGTTGCATTTATTTTAATTCCAGTTTAGTTGATCAGGCTGAAAACTACTTGTGTTTCGATTGCTGCATACTAAGTGTTATGGTGGGATGACCCATCCCTTGCCGCCCTGGACAAATGTCCCATTTGACACAGGAACACTGTTATGAGCAATTGTCATTTTCAAGTGAAATGTTTTGGTACTGTATTAATATGAGGGAAAAACATATTGAAAACAATCCAAAAATTATATAAATTGCCTATTTGTAATAGAATATATAGATATTCACCATTTGACACTGTTCTTGCATTTATTCAGTATATACAAGACCTGTTGCATTTATTTTAATTCCGGTTTAGTTGATCAGGCTGAAAACTACTTGTGTTTCGATTGCTGCATACTAAGTGTTATGGTGGGATGACCCATCCCTTGCCGCCCTGGACAAATGTCCCATTTGACACAGGAACACTGTTATGAGCAATTGTCATTTTCAAGTGAAATGTTTTGGTACTCTATTAATATGAGGGAAAAACATATTGAAAACAATCCAAAAATATATAAATTGCCTATTTGTCATAGAATAGATATTCACCATTTGACACTGTTCTTGCATTTATTCAGTATATACAAGACCTGTTGCATTTATTTTAATTCCAGTTTAGTTGATCAGGCTGAAAACTACTTGTGTTTCGATTGCTGCATACTAAGTGTTATGGTGGGATGACCCATCCCTTGCCGCCCTGGACAAATGTCCCATTTGACACAGGAACACTGTTATGAGCAATTGTCATTTTCAAGTGAAATGTTTTGGTACTGTATTAATATGAGGGAAAAACATATTGAAAACAATCCAAAAATTATATAAATTGCCTATTTGTCATAGAATAGATATTCACCATTTGACACTGTTCCTGCATTTATTCAGTATAATTAAAGACCTGTTGCATTTATTTTAATTCCGGTTTAGTTGATCAGGCTGAAAACTACTTGTGTTTTGATTGCTGCATACTAAGTGTTATGGTGGGATGACCCATCCCTTGCCGCCCTGGACAAATGTCCCATTTGACACAGGAACACTGTTATGCAGCAATTGTCATTTTCAAGTGAAATGATTTGGTACTCTATTAATATGAGGGAAAAACATATTGAAAACAATCCAAAAATTATATAAATTGCCTATTTGTCATAGAATAGATATTCACCATTTGACACTGTTCCTGCATTTATTCAGTATAATTAAAGACCTGTTGCATTTATTTTAATTCCAGTTTAGTTGATCAGGCTGAAAACTACTTGTGTTTCGATTGCTGCATACTAAGTGTTATGGTGGGATGACCCATCCCTTGCCGCCCTGGACAAATGTCCCATTTGACACAGGAACACTGTTATGAGCAATTGTCATTTTCAAGTGAAATGTTTTTGGTACTCTATTAATATGAGGGAAAAACATATTGAAAACAATCCAAAAATTATATAAATTGCCTATTTGTCATAGAATAGATATTCACCATTTGACACTGTTCTTGCATTTATTCAGTATACAGTATACAAGACCTGTTGCATTAATTTTAATTCCGGTTTAGTTGATCAGGCTGAAAACTACTTGTGTTTCGATTGCTGCATACTAAGTGTTATGGTGGGATGACCCATCCCTTGCCGCCCTGGACAAATGTCCCATTTGACACAGGAACACTGTTATGAGCAATTGTCATTTTCAAGTGAAATGTTTTGGTACTCTATTAATATGAGGGAAAAACATATTGAAAACAATCCAAAAATTATATAAATTGCCTATTTGTCATAGAATAGATATTCACCATTTGACACTGTTCTTGCATTTATTCAGTATATACAAGACCTGCTGCATTTATTTTAATTCCAGTTTAGTTGATCAGGCTGAAAACTACTTGTGTTTCGATTGCTGCATACTAAGTGTTATGGTGGGATGACCCATCCCTTGCCGCCCTGGACAAATGTCCCATTTGACACAGGAACACTGTTATGCAGCAATTGCCATTTTCAAGTGAAATGTTTTGGTACTGTATTAATATGAGGGAAAAACATATCGGAAACAATCCAAAAATTATATCAATTGCCTATTTGTCATAGAATAGATATTGACCATTTGACACTGTTCCTGCATTTATTCAGTATGAAGACCTGTTGCATTTATTTTAATTCCGGTTTTTAGTTGATCAGGCTGAAAACTGCTTGTGTTTCGAGTGCTGCATACTGTTTGGGTAGGATGACCCATCCCTTGCCGCCCTGGACAAATGTCCCGTTTGACACAGGAACACTGTTATGCAGCAATTGTCATTTTCAAGTGAAATGTTTGGTACTGTATTAATATTATAATGTTCAAACTTATTGGAAACAATCGAAACTAAAAATATATAAATTGCCTATTTGCCATAGAATCAAGTATCGAGCATTTGATACAATTCCTGCATTTTGTCAGGTTAAAGACTTGTCGCATCTATTTCAATTGCATTTTAATTGTAAGGCTGGAAACTGTAAGTGTGGTTGTGAGTTTCGATTGCTGCATTATCCGCATATTAATGTTATGGTGGGATGAGCTACTGTATTTCTTGCCGCTATGTACAAATGCATGATTCATTTGGCACAGAAATACTGTTATGCAGCAATTTTCATTTCAAATTCAAATGTTTTGATTGTTTTTGTTTAAGCTAAGTAAAGTGCTATTGTGAACATTTAATACACCCACACCCTTACAGCCCACGAGCACTTTCCCCTTGGCGCGGTAATTTATTGAATTATGTTTTTATACTTAGCAATCTCCTCACGCCAAAGGTTGACGTATTGTTCAAAGTCAAGATGGTAGAATTTAAACTTGTAGTAACCACCACACCAGAAGATGCTAGCTTTAAAGCATTTGTTTGGAGAAAGATAAGTCTATCCTTGCGACAACAACAAATCTCTTGGAAGCCCTGGTTAACCTTATATCATGCAGATTGTTATTGATGTATTTGATGCCAACTATCCTCACTCTATATTTGATATGTTTATGGCAAATAGCCTAATTGGACATTTCTATTACAAATTGCTTACTTTATCTGATTGCAACAATGTTTATCCCATTTGGAACTGGAGGAAGAAAAGACTGAAGCCTAGACTTGTGCGATTATAATGGATGTAACCTCGCAAATATGGCGTTGTATTTTACTGCCATATTAATAACTGTATGAAAACGTCTGATATGAACAATTTGCATTCATTTGTTATATTTGCATGTTCTATATAATGTAGAATATTTCAATGTATTACACAGCAGACCTTACAAGGCCGTTTTCATATTGATATTGTGTACATTCGAATTAAAATATTTTTGACCATACAATACAAAATATGTATTCGTGTAATTTAATACTCAAGAAGGCGTGTTGTTTTAGCATGCCATAACCGAAGGCGTGCTGTTTCAGCACACCCAAAAGACGTGTTGTTTCAGCACACGCGAAGGCGTGCTGCTTTAGCACATCTATAATGCGTGCTGTTTTAGCACACGTGAAGGCGTGTTGCTTTCGCACATCTATAATGCGTGTTGTTTTAGCACACGTAAAGGCGTGCTGTTTTAGCACATGCAGAACACGCCTAAACGTGCTAAAGCAACACACCTTTAAGTTGTGCCGTCTTAACACACACCGGATTACTAATAACACACCTAAGCGTGTCTCCTAACGCACCTTTTGGAGTAACATGGCTTAAGGCGTGTTGTTTTCTGGACAAGCATAAAACACACCTTTTGGTGGGTTACCGTAACACACAATGTGTGCTATTTAAACACAGCTAAAAATGTGTTGTTTTCTGGACAGAAAAGTTGTGTTATTCCAACACATCTATTTTTTAGAGTGTGGTTTCCCGATCCTTAAACTTTTTTATTGGATCATGCTTGTTAGTGTTTCCACGTAGCGGAAAACGTTTGCGGAAAATGGAAATTTGAGGCAATATTAGGTAAATATATATTTGGATGTGGAAGAACTGACTAAACAAACATGGCGTCCGGTTGTTAGAAAAATAAAACAAAAGTTAAAACCCGACCTACCCTACCTAAGTTTTTACAAGAAGAAATAGGAAACCCACATATCCTTTTGGCCTACATATAAAACGATCACGTGACATAAAATAAACCAATAAGATGGATTTAGTCAAAGCAAAGTATAAGCTTAGCAGAAAAATGTATAATCAAACCCTTTCCATAAAACTGAGCAGCACGACACATAGTGCCATCCAGTCATGATTCGGTGATCCATAGTGATTGGAATGTTCCATTAGTTTAGTTAGTTAGTCTTTAGTTTCACTGTTTTGAAAGTACCACTGTTCTCCATACCATCCAATCATTCATTTTGACTTTGTATAAGTATTTCTGCAAACAGCCTTTTATGATACTTATTATTGTAATCATTTTGTTTTCTTATTCCAGTTTGTCTGTAACATTGACGGCTGCTCTTCAAAAGTGTAATGTAAGTTTATTTAAGGCATTGTCTCATAATATATACATGTTTTTCCCAACTTTTGCTTCTGCGTCAGGGTTTAGTGTGCCGTGGGTGCTGATGATCTTTCTTAGTTTGCAACTTGGTAAGGTAATTAATCTAAGCAACACCAAGTTTTTCTGTTGCTTATGCCTGTATTTTAAAAGCTCACTCGCACTCAAAGAATGGAGATTCAATCTGAGCTTCCCTTGAGTGTCAGTGCTGTTTTTGAATAGCTGGAGGGTTAGTGTCGTACCTTACTATGTGACTACTCGTGTGATCATCATACAAACAAATCATCATATATCATTATACAGACACATTGATAACCTGTCCCTCACCCCACCGCCCCCCCCCACACTCTAACCCCTCCTAACCGGAGACACCTAACCGTCTAACTCCTCACCCTGATGGCGGGGTGGAAAGAAAAACTCCAGAGTTTGAACAGTTCTTTTTGACAGCCTGTATTTTAATTTATTAATTATTAGAAAATTACGACATGGGAAGAATATGTTTCGATGGTATTACCAAATATACCGACGATATTATGCCACCTGTTTATTATGGGCAAGTTTATACTAGTACTTTATAAGGAAATCAAGGAATATGGAATATTCGGAATGCAGCTATTTTCTCCGCATAACGACGTAAGTAATGTTTTTCCACTTACCTCAAAACCATAGAGATTGTGCATTGCGGGAAAAGTCAAGGGACAAATTCTCCACTAGGCGATTTTTTTCGCGCGACGCGAAGCGAAAAACAAATTCTGGCAATGTGATTGGTCAGCGAAAAAATTCGCCGCGAAAAATTTGGATCAGTTCCTACTTTTTACTGTTCGCGCGAACGAATTCGCCTAGTGGAGAACGGGCTTAATGGGGGCAAATAACGCTCTCTGATTGGCTAAAATCTCGTTGTCCGGATGTAAATTCTCATTCCAGGATGCAAAGCCGCGATATTTAGGAGGAGCGGGAAATTACGAAAATAATACAACTTTGGAAACATTCCAGTTTTAGCACAGTTCAAGCAAGGACTAAAAGCTCAAAATCAACAAGAATACTTGGACTTTATTACAAAACAAGTTTTGGAACGGTAGAAATGGGCACGTCCAATATTTCATCATTTTCCACGATAAAAAACGGTCATGTAAAACAGTCAGGACTGTTGATAGAACCAGGATTGAATACTTGAATTGTGGCCAAAAGGTGAAAAAATCTATTTTCTTGGTTTTACATCCGAGTATAACTCAAATTTCAATTTGCCCCCATTAGCAAGCTTCAATTTGTCCCTTTCGTTTGCCTGAACTTTTCCTGCAATGCCCACTGTATTCTTTTATAATCTCTTTGCTTAAAACTATATAACACGCGATAGTGCATTTGCTATGCATAAATAAAGTCAATGGCGACCCTATTGGTTTGACCACGCTGTTGCTGACATATTATAGAAGAGCTTCTTACAGTTACCGGCCATTTAGGAATGTAGGAAAACTTCCTAGATGCCATATTCGGCATTTTTTATCCCTCCAAACATGCGACTAGACCCAGTCATCTGCTCAATTGGGAAATGGCTAATTACTGGCCTTTTTTGGGAAGGACAAGTATTGTCCAGATAGAAATTGGTTGTCTCTTCCCTAAATTGAGGTCTCCGGCCATTAGATAGCTTATAAGATCCACGACGTCGACGTCAGCTAGGACGTCAGGGCTAAGCAGAGGACTGGGACTAGGATTTAGGGCGGCAAGCGGAAGTAAATTGGTAAGTCTGAGTCTGACGTCCACGTCGTAGATCTTAAGCTATCTTAGTAGTGTTTAAAACGTTTTAAAACTCATTAGAAGAGGGCTAGTAAGCTATATCTTTCAACTTAGATAGGAAAAAGGCATTTGCTTGATAGTAACACTAATTTAAACACTTGTAAAGAATTTGACAGATTTAAAAATATTTTCTCATCATAAAATTGGATAGAATCTTTACACAAGTTTCGCTTGCTATCCCGGGCTAAATGCATATTTAGTGCAGGTATAATTTATACATGAACAATTTTGCCTCTAGTTTTTTAACCTTTGCTGACATGAACTTCAACTTTTCGTATCATTCATATCACATATAATGTCCATTTAGGATGAACATGCTTCTCAGCAGGTGAAATTGATCAGACCTTGGTTGCGAAATTACGTGCAGGACCTCATTAAGTCAAAGTAAGAGCATGGGTAATAAAATGACTGAAAACGAAACATAAACAACACTAGTGGCATTCCCTGTGCACGGATTGGTGAAGGCAGGTGATGCAGGGTGTGATTCAAGGTTTTCTGCCGTATATACACTGGGGCTTCCGAAGGGTGGCGCAATCTTCAGAGCAAGCACCTTTCACTTATGCGATCGTTGGTTCGATTCTTGCTGCGGACTTATGGCATTCATGTGAAACGAATCTATCTATCTAATCAGTTTGATCATCTGATGCAAAATGTTAGATTGTAATACAAAATGACTGAAAAACGGCAAACTTCGCAAGGCTATATTATCTGCATTTTACAACATTTCGCAACGAAACTTCGGAATATTACTGAATTTTGTGATGCTCTTTCAAGCTGTGATGAAATTGTTGCCCAGGCATATCTAGATCAAAATTTCACTCATAAGGGGAAAGGTCTATTCTCCCCTTGATCATTACACTAGCACAACATTTATTTCGAAACATTGCATTAAAGGGGTTACTACGGGCCCAACATTGAAAATGCAGTTACTACTAATCAAATATTTCGCCACATTTGTATAGACCTGCCCGCCATTATTCAGGAATAGAGTTCTACTTGAGAAAAATTTACAATCCCGAGAAAAGTAAGTGTTTCAGATCCAGAATTCGAAATACAGTATCAGGCTGGTACGGTGGTGTAAGGACATATCACTCATTTGTAATTCGAACATCTAAACTATAAGTACTATTTAAAACACGAGCAGGAGTGCTTTATCGGATATAGAGTACGAGGCAGCCGAGTGTTTTATATTTGATAAAGCACGGACGGAAAAACTCACTCGTGCATGTTTTTTTCCAAATTTCACTCGAAACCATACGATTACAATAGTGTCTGTTTAGGTCTATTAATTTAATGTTTATTTTTTAATAAGTTCTTTGTATGTTTGCATGGCGATAAAACATATAATAGTTTTGTTTGTGGAAACACCACGTAAATCTATTACGGCAAAGCTTTCGATCCGTAAGCCCGGATCTTCATCAGTGCTAATAATATGTCATATATAATAATATGACATGTTATTAGCACTGATGAAGATCCGGGCTTACGGATCGAAAGCTTTGCCGTAATAGATTTACGTGGTGTTTCCACAAACAAAACTATTATATGTTTATTTTTTGTTTGTATTTTCAAACTGTGCCGTTCAATAGACCCTTCCAAGGTTAACGACGCCATAATGAAACACGGTAGTGCAAGGGGTGAAAATACAATGGAATTCCCTCTAGGGCAATTTACAGGGGGTGCAAACACAATGGTGAAAACAATGGTCATAATCGAGTTCCGAACTTTTTTCCAACTTTTTTGTAGATTTTAAGTTTTCAACTCTAAATGTTTCTGTGGTCATGATCTGCTCTATTCTACTTTACAACGTGAGTAATTTGTTTTTAAATTTTAATTGGAAACGTTTTAGGGGGCCTACTGCATACGTGAAAACACACAAGTTGTTACAGGTCTGCAAACAAGTTATCACGATTCTGTTCAGTGTTCACAAACTATCAACAAGTTGTGTTCGCGTTGTTGTAACAAGTTTGGAACAACTTGTAACAAACTTGATGGCATTATCAGACTTGTAGCGAAGTTGTTCTAACAAGTCTGATACAGTCATGATATAACAAGAATG